GACGATGATGATAATGATGACGATGATGATAATAATGATGGTGATGGTGCTGGTGATGGAGATAGTGCTGGTGATTGTGATGGTGCTGCTGATGATGATCGTGATGTTGATGGTGATGCTGGTGGCGATCATGACGATGTTGCTGGTGACGTTGGTAATGGTGGTAGTGTTGATGATGATGGTGATGTTGGTAATGTTGGTAATGGTGGTAGTGGTGATGATGATGACGATGTTGAGGACGATTGTAGTGGTGATGATGATGATTGACGATGATAATGCTGTTGATTTGAAGGATTTAACGATGATGATGGTGAAAGTGATGGTGGTGGTGCTGGTGATAGTCATGGTACTAATGATGCTAATGAGGACCATGATGGCGATGATAATGATGATGGTTGTGGTGGTGATGATGACGAGGGCGATGACGATGGTGATGATGATGATGCTGATGACAACGATCATGAAGCTGATGGTGATGATAGTGAAGATGGTGGAAGTGATGGTAATTGTGCTGGTCACGGCGATGGTACTGATGATGATGCTGATGGTGATGTTGGTCAGAGTGGTGGTGCATATGATGATGACGATGATGACGATGGTGACGATGATGGCCAGAGTGGTGGTGCAGATGATGATGACGATGGTGACGATGATGACGATGGTGACGATGATGACGACGATGACGATGACGATGATGATGATGATGATCATGATGATGATGGTGATAGTGCTGGTGATGTCGATGATGGTGGTGGTGATGATGACGATGATGATGGTGGCGATGATGACGATGATGATGGTGATGATGATGATGCTGATGCTGATGATGATGATGATGATGACGGTGGTGGTGCCGGTGATGATAATGGTGATTGTGGCGATGGTGTTGCTGATGATTGTGATGGTCATGCCTGTGGTGCTCATGACGATGATGATGAGGGTGATGATGATGTCGGTGATGATGGTAGTGGGAAGGGTGATGATCATGACGACGATGGCGTTGAAATTGATGTTGATTGTGCTGGTGAAGTTGATGGTACTTATGCTGTTGACGATGATGCTGCTGGTGGTGCTGCTGGTGACACTGATGATGATGATGATGATGACCACGATGATGTTGTGATGATGATGATGATGATGATGATGATGATGATGATGATGATGATGATGATGATGGCGGTGATGGTGCTGGTGCTGCTGATGATGACGGTGATTGTGATGGTGCTGGTGCTGGTGCTGGTCATGGTAATGGTGATGGTGATGGTGATGGAAAGGACGATGGTGATGGCGATGATGATCCGGTATTGGTGATGATTTTGATGGTGGTAGTGGTGATGAAAGTGGGGGCGATGACAATGATGTGGGTAGTGCTGGTGGTGATGATGTGATGGTGATGGTGTTGGTGATGGTGATGGTACCGGTGGTGCTGCTGATGATGATGATGATGATGATGATGATGATGATGATGATGACAGTGGTTCGGCGACTACAATATCTGTGCTGTTACGCCGGGGTGCGGTTTGCGAGTTGCTTTGTGGTGGCCTTTCCGGGCCTTTGTGAGAGACAATGTCATAATTGTCGCCGTTTCGAGCGACACTGTCATCCTCGATGTGTGCTCCACTGTGCTAGAAGGAGCGCCAGTGTCGTGTGATTCGTCGCATGAAGTGACAGTGTCATCCGTTTCCCGGGGGCGGGAGAGGCAGATAAGACTGGAGGCAAACCTCACCCTTCGCAAACCGCACCCATTGTAGTCGCGGAGTGGTGATGATGATGATGATGATGATGATGATGATGATGATGATGATGATGATGGTGATGGCTATGATGATGACGGGGATGATGGTTCTTGTGATGATGATGGTAATGGTGATGGTGCTGGTGTTGATGATGGTGTTTGTGATTGTGATGGTGGTGGTGATCATGGCGACGTTGCTGATAATGATGCTGGTGGTGATGGTAATGGTGGTGGTGATCATGGCGATCCTGGTTATGGTGACGATGATGATGAACATTATGGTGATGATGATGACGATGGTGAGAATGATGACGATGTTTAATGATGGTGATGGTGGTGATGATGATGCTGATGGGGACTATGCTGATAATGATGATGATCGCGATTATGCTGACGATGATGATTGTGATTTTGATGATGACGCTACGAATTATGGTGATGGTGCTTGTGCTGGTGGTGGTGATGGTGGTGGTTGTGGTCATGGCGATCATGATGATGCTGATGATAATCATGACGGTTATGCTGATGGTGGTGATGGTGATGGTGGTTGTGGTGATGATGATGCAGATGCTGCTGCCGTTGCTGCTAATGTGGATGGTGCTGCTACTGCCGCCGACGGCGACAAAGATGATGTACCACGACGGTGATGGTGATGATGGTGCTGCTGCTGCTCATGATGATGATGATGATGATGGCGATGGTTCGATGATGACGATGATGATTCGATGATGGCGATGGTGTTGATGCTGCTGCCCCTGATGACGATGAGCTTCATGATGCTGATGATGACGATGTTACGATGGCGATGCTGATGTTGGTGATTGTGATGAGGATGGCGATACCTCTTATGATGATGATGATGAGGATGACCATTATGATAATGATGCTGATGCTGGTGATGATGATGACTTCTATTATTATGATGATGCTGGTGATGGAGATGCTGATGATGCTGGTGGTGGTGGTGATGATGGTGATGGTGCTGGTGATGGTCATGGTGGTGATGATGATGATGATGATGATGATGATGATGCCGATGCTGCTGTTGCCGCTGCTTCTGCTGCTGATGAGAATGCTGCTGCTGCTGCCCACGACGAGGGCGACGACACCGGCGATGACGACGACGATGATGATGACGATGAAGAGGATGATGACGATGACGACAACGACGATGATGTTGAAGATTATGATGCTGATGATGACGATGGTGATGATGATGATGCTGATGCTGATGATGCTGCTGCTGATGATGATTGTGATGTTGGTGTTGATGATGGTTATGGTGATGGTGATGATGTTGGTGATGGTGATGCTGATGATGATGGTGGTGGTGATGATGCTGATGAGGGTGCTGATTGTGGCGGTGGTGATGATCATGCTGATGATGTTGACGATGATGATGATGCTGATGATGATGATGATGATGATGATGTTGATGATGATGATGATGATGATGCTGATGTTGATGCTGCTGCTGCTGATGCTTCATGATGAGGACTAAGGTGAGGGTGCTGCTGCTGCTGCTCATGATTCTGCTGCTGATTCTGCTGCTGCTGATGATGATGATCATGACGGTGACGATGATACTGATGCTGATGATGCTGCTGCTGATGATGGTGGTGGTGATGCTGATGATGATGACGATGATGATGATGCTGATGATGATGGTTATTCTGATTATGATGTTGTGGTGATGCTGCTGCTGATGATGGTGATGATGATGATGCTCATGATGATGTTGATGATGATGCTGCTGATGATGATGTTGATGATGCTGATGATGATGATGAGGAGGAGGAGGAAGAAGAAGCAGGAGGCAGGAACAGAGTGCGCCGTGTGGGGCAGGTGCGCGTCGGTAGCCAGGGGGAAGGCGACCGAATGGGTGGGTGGGGGAGAGGAGGGTGACGGGGTGCTCCAGGGGAGGAGAGCACAGGAAGAAGCCCGTTCCCCTTGCGCCCTGTACGGCCCCCTGGTCCTGGCAGCTTCCCGGCGCAGCCCTGGAGCCCCACCGCGCTGGGGATGCGCGAGGCAGGATGGTTGATTTCCCAATGGTACTCGTGCATCCTTGCTTCTTCGGTCATCTCCGGTCCATCCTCAACCACTTTCGATGGCCAGCCCCGATCGAAAATCTGCGGCATGGGCGTCCGAGGCCCTTGCACCCTGATCGCAGCATCCTTACTACCGGGGCGTGCGAAAGAAACGACCAAGTCTACGAGAGTGAATCCGCCAATTGTGGACTTCCCCCTATCTGACCCTCCCCTTCCCTCCCGACGTTGCGGCAAGTTGGCTCGCGGGCCAGGCGGCGCAGTCTGCGCTTGCATCCCGCTTTGCACAGGGGGGGTGGGCGGGAGCGGAGGCGGGGGGGGTGGCGCGGCGCGCCGCGCGCTGGCTTCGCGTTCGTCTCTGCGCGTTCCGAGATGTGGTTAGAGCGACAGAGCATAGATGGTAGTTTTTCTCGCTCGCGCTGGTATCAGTTGTGACTGTAGTAGCAGAAAGGGGAGGTCGGGGATGCGGGGCTCCATGCGTCCCAAGCGGGGTCGGAGTTGATGGGGCCAGAGGATCGCGCCGCATCGCCATTGCATCGGCGATGCGGTGCGATGTGGGGCCAGACTTTCTCCGCGCCAAAGGCGCCGAGGCATTGCCGATCTAGCCTGACCCCATGAAGGAGGCTTCTGGTGGAGGGGCAGGGGGAAGATGGCGAGGGAAAACGGGGGAATGGCCGACAGAGGGCGGAGGGGGCCATTGGCAGGCGAGGTGAAGCCGAGTAGCCGCCGTCCGCTTCCACGCCCTGATTGCCCGCGTGCCTGCCAGACGCATTGCGCATTCTTTTTATTCTCTCGCCCAGGCTCCTTTTCCCCTCTTGGTTTGTCCTCGTAGGCCCCATGCCTGCATCCAGAGAGCCAAGGTCGTGTTGGGAGCAGGCCGTCCTTGCCCGCGATCCGGACAGTCGGCCGTTTTGTGGCACCGACCGCCTCGACAGCCCCCGCGCGGCCAAGACGGTTGCAGCACTGCGCGCGCCACCTCGCCGGGCGGGCCGCGGGAGGCTCTTGTCCCAGCGTGCCGACTTTTGCCGACGGCGACCAGGGTCTCCCGAAGACGACTGGCGACGCCTGACGCCGTCCGGCGGGGGCTTTCGGCGGCGACGGGCAGCGGACATGTGCCCGAATGGCGACGGCGATCGTGGGCCATGCGGGACGGATGGCGGACATGGGACGACGAGGGGCGGACAGGAACCAGAGGCAGGGATGGGGGGGGGGGGTCCGAGGTCAGCGCCGCGCCCCCGTGGGCCTCGATGGCCGCCCCGGAGTTCCGCGCCGTGGCCCACAGCGACGCCGCCGCCGGCGTGCCCTGCCCCAGGGGCCTGGGCCACCCGACGCTCTCGATGACGTGGCCCGCTCTGCGGGGGGACCCCATAGCTCAGGGACAATGGTAAGGGGGGGACAGGCTCAGGGGGGGATGCATCGACCCCGGGTCGCCCATTGATCGCCGATTGGGGCCCTATCACCCCTCCCCGTCTGGCACCGTGTTGTGGTTTCGCTATCGAGGGCCTGTCGCCGATCTATCGGCGATGTGTCACCGTTTCCAGGTCGATGTTTCCCCACTGAGCCGGCCCCCCCTTATCGCTCCCCCTGAACAGCTTCCAGAGCTCAGAGGGAACAGGCAGTCCGCGGACCTCTGCAGTCAACAAAGCCGGTCTCAAGGATGAGCCTCGGAGGCATGGGGGCCCCTGCGTGCTTCGGTTATTGGGGCGTGCTTGTCACGTTTTCTGCTGCATCGGTCCGAGGGGTAACTACCTTCTGACCTGGCGCGTTTTGGGTATCTCGCATTATCATGCTCCATCCGTGTGGCTGGCTTCGACCGCAGGCCCCCGAGGGCTTCCGCAGGCCGCGAGATTTGGACGAGGAACGTCGCTTGCGGCCGCGGGCTGTCGAGCAATTGTTTCGTTTGTTGCTGTTTTTCCTTTTTTCTTTTGGGCATGCTGTGGGAGGTTTTTCCCTCCTCCTCTTCCTCCTCCTCCTCCTCCTCCTCCTCCTCCTCCTCCTCCTCCTCCCCCTCTTCCCCTCCTCCTCATCCTCCTCATCCTCCTCCTCCCCCTCCTCTTCCCCTGCTCCCCCCCTCCTCCCCTCCTCCCCCTCTTCCTCCCCTTCCTTCTCTCATCCTCTCTTCATTCAACAGCGCAACAGTCGGCCGAACACCGGCCGAAGACAACAAAGGGGGGGGGGAATGCGGGCGCAAGACGGAGGCGCCGCGCTGCCTTCTTGGGGCCTCTTGGGGTTGCCTTGGAACCACCTTGGGGCATCTCGGGATCACTCGGGCATAGAAACAGGCGGCAGGCAGCGCGTACGGAGCAATTCTCCAGTCTTCCATGCCAGAACGTCCTTGTTGCCAGATGGCAATTTTGGATGTGATCTTCAGTCATCTTGTTTTCATCTAGAGCGTCTCGGAGATACTCTCACACGATCCTAACGCGTGAGACATCTCGCATGCTTCGAGGTTCATCATGGGAGCATCCTGGGCTATTATGTGTTTTTGCCGCCATCAACCAACAATCAGACAGCGTTTTCACTCCTTCCCTGGTGGAAGAGTCGCACCATGACTAGATGTCCCAACTATTTGCAGATGCTCGCACGCATGTTTTAGTGAATCCACAGTTGCATGCATGTACAGAAGCTGTCGAGAACCAAATCTATGGCCGCGCAGCCTGGTAACCCCACAAGGGGACCAGCAGAGAACCTTTCGTGGGTGTCAAGCACATGTTTCTTCATCGTGCACTTTTCATCAAGCACGACGCGTTTCACACTTACCCACATATTCACCTTTCCGCAATGAGCTCAGTTCAAAGATGAGTCTTCAATCGCGTCCATGGCCCCTCATCCTCTTCCTCTATTTCTCCCGCTGAATTTCTACCTCCACCTCGCCCTGGCCCGCCTCGTCTATCTCCCCTCGCCCTCCACCTGCCCCTCTCCCTCCGCGTTCCCCCGCCCCCCTCGTCCCCCCCATGCCGCTTCCCTTACCCTCCCCGTCTATCCGCTCCTCAAACCCCTTCCCTTCACTCCAGCCGCCCTCCTTCCCCGCCTCCTCCTTCCTCCGCCGCCGCTCTGTCGCAAGGCCTGTGCCTTGAGCCGTTGCTTGCGAAGTTCAGTCCACAACCCCCCGCGCCCTGCGGCCCCGCGCGCGCGGCTCGCCGCAGGCCGCCCTCCGATGCGAGCGCCCAGCTCCCCGCTGGCCGCCCTCGCCGCCGCACTGCTGGTGGCGCGGGCGAGCGGGGCGCGGTACGCCGCCGCGGCCGATGTGGGGCCGGAGCGGGGCGGCAGCGCAGACGCGCTGGGTGGCGAGCCTGTGGCCCTGGAAGGCTCGACGGGGTTCATCTTCAGGCCTTCCAGATGGGGTCCGAGCAGCTGGGGTCGGAGGATCGCGCCGCATCGCTGGTGCATCGGCATCGCTGGTGCATCGGCGATGCGGCTCGATGCGTTTCCGACTCTCTCCACCCCGACGTCACCGGTGCATCGCCGACGTCGCCGTTGCATCGCCGATGCATCGGCGATACATCGGGGATGCGGCGCGATCCCCCGGCCCCATCAACTCTGACCCCATTTGGGAGGCCTCCAGTTCAGGGCCCCGTACCTGGAGGATTGGGATGCGCATGGACAAGAATGCTGACGAAGACTTAGACCTGGCTGAGGGTCTGGCGAGGTTCGAGGTCTTGGGTTCGAGACAGTTTTTTTTTTGTCCCCCTTTTCGGTCTCCGGGGCCGTGCCCCTGGACCGTCCAACGCGGATCCATGGTGAAACGCTGCACCAAATGGATTCTGGGAGGGGTTTGGGGACCGATTTTGAGCGGATTTGCCTTTATCCCTCCTTCTTGAAAGATTTTCTCGGTGCCCATCCAGCTCAGACCCCCTGGCCGCCTCCAAACGAAGACCGACAGCAGCATGAGTTTATTCAATCGCGCACCTGGAGGCAGTGCACAGGAAGCTCTTGGGAGTTCTCCGAGGCTTTCGGGGTCGTCTTAACCTGGAGCCTTTTTGGGGCTCTGGGGGGCCCCTTGGCGGCCTCCTGACCGCCTGTTGGGGGCCTGTTGGGGCCTCTTAGGGACCTCTGGGGACATCCTGGGGTTTGCTTATGGCAGAGGGCTCGAAATGTTGTTTCGTGTTCCCCCTCTGGGGCCTCTCTTGGGGCGTTCTTGGGGCCTTCTTGGGCCGTCTTGGAGTCGTATTGGGTGGTCCTGGAGCCCTCTTGGGCCGTCTTGGGGCTCTCTTAAGGCTCTCGTGGGGCGATCTTGGGGACCTCGGGCGTCTTGAGGCGTCGGGAAGCCGAAACGGGGGAAACGCCCAAAGCCCAAAAGCAAAGGAAAATCAATTGATTTTACCTCTTGGGGCGCTCTTGGGAGTGCTTTTGGAAGCCTTGGGGCGTCTGGTGGCAATCTTGGGCAACTTGGAGCGATCTTGCGGCATCTCGGAGCCCTCTTGTTCTGTCTTGGGGGCCTCTTGGGGGCCTCTTGGCCCTTCGTGGGGCTTTCTGGAGGGCCTCGAGAGCGGCGCTCACCCGACCCGACCCGGCTGGCCGGGGACCGCCCGGGGTACTTTTCGTCCGGGGACCCCCAGGGGCGGCTCCGTGCGCGCGAAGCAGAAATACTGTACGCAGTTACTCCAGAGAACTTAGCGCTCCTCTGGCCCGTTGGGCCGGCGAATTTCTATCCTTTGGAGCACTCTTGGGAGTGCTTTTGGAGCCTCTTGGGGCGTTTGGGGGCCCTCCTGGGAGCTCCTTGTGGCCGAGGGCTCGACACGTGGTTTCGTGTTCTCCCTCTGGGGCCTCTCTTGGAGCATTCTTGGGGCCTTCTGGGGCCGTCTTGGAGTCGTCTTGGGCGGTCCCAGAGCCCTCTTGAGCCGTCTTGGGGCTGTCTTGAAGCCTTGTTGGACCCTCTTGGCTCGATCTGGGGAACCTCTTGGGCCGTCTGGAGGCGTCAGGAACCGAGCAGGGGGAAACGCCCAAATCTGCCCCAAACCTGAGGACAATCAAGGAACTTTACGTCTTGGAGCACTCTTGGGAGTGCCTTTGGAGCCTCTTTGGGCGTCCTGGGGCAATCTTGGGCATCTTGGTGCGATCTTGCGGCATGTCGGAGCTCTCTTGTTCTATCTAGGAAGCCTCTTGGGGGCCTCTTGGCCATTCTGGGGGCTCTCTGGAGGGCCTCGAGAGCGGCGCCCAGGAGAAAGAGGATCTCTGACCCGAACAGGCCGGGGATCGCCCGGGGTACTTTTCGGCCGGGGACCCGCAGGGGCGGCTCCGCGCGGGCGAAGTAGAAACACTGTACGCAGGTACCGGAAATCTTAGCACGCCTCTAGCCCGTTGGGCCGGCGAATTTTGTACTGGACTCGATGTTGGTGCCGCCGCGGACGTGATCCACCTGAGACAGAATTTCGCCTGCCCAACAGCGACCTTGTTGCTGGGCATCGTGCGATCTTTGTCCGTATCCATTTCGGGTGTCCAATCCGGAAGCTAGAGCAATGCAGACCAGGATCTTGAACGGTCCAGATGGGGAGAGCGAAGGGGGGAGCGAAGAATGAAGTTTTCTTGGGCGCGCCAGTGTCATGGCTCATCACAGCCCCCCGTCTGCGGGGCCCTGAGGGGTGGGCTGTCAATGGTCGTGGGCCGCGGGCTCAACGATCTGTATTGTTCGAGCGTGGCACAACGGTTCAGACTGCCCAGCCGCGGTTCGATGATCCGCGTGAGTATTGCGGTAGGATGCTGGATATTCGCTGCCCCCGAGTTTGGCAACCACGGTCGAATCATCCGAATCATCCTCCCGACCGAAGACTATCGACCCACCTGGGATTTGTGAACCGCGGTCCAACGATTCTGGGAACTGTCTGACCGCAGCCGAACAAAGCTGGGACATGCCCGACCGCTGCTGGTCAACCTAGACTATTCGACCGCGGCGAAATGACCTCGAGATTTTGGACCGCGGTTTGAGAGCGAGCGCGCATAGTGACGGATTGTTCATTCACGATCAAGCGGCGCTCGTGGTTGTTCGATCGCGTTCCAACGGCTTACTGTGAATTAGGGGTATCCTTCTTAATAAAGTCAGCAATTCTTCTCACTTTGCGAACCCCCTCCAGGCCGTTCAGAAGAAACCCACCCCGTGAGAGTTAACGGAGAAAGGGACGAAGAGACAATTATAGAGAGGCAGAACAGGCAGCCACGATGAACAGAGGGATCTCTGGGAGCAAGGGGGTGGCCTTGGAGGGCCTCTTAGGGCCATCCCTGGGGCCCGTGGAGGGGGCAGGAGAAGGAGGAGGAGTTGGGGGAGGAGTTGGAGGAGGCGGAGGAGGTGGTGGAGGAGGAGGAGGAGGAGGAGGAGGAGAAGGAACAGGAGGGGAGGAGGAGGAGAAGGAGGAGAATGAGGAGGCGGAGGCGGAGGCGGAGGCGGAGGAGGCGGAGGCGGAGGCGGAGGCGGAGGCGGAGACGGAGGCGGAGGAGGAGGAGGAGGAGGAGGACGAGGAGGAGGAGGAGGAGGAGGAGGAGGAGGAGGAGGAGGAGGAACACCGCCTCACGAGGCCCTCGTAGGACGCTCTCGTCGCGCTCTTGAGCGCTCTTGGGGGCGTCTTGGAGCCCTCTTGGAGCCCTCTTGGAGCCCTCCTGGGGCCCTCTTGGGGCCCTCTTGGGAGCCCTGGAGGGCGTCTTGAGCCATCTTGAACGCTATCGATCAAAGGAGGGGGGGCCCAGATTCCCCCCCCCCCCGGGTGGCCATCAGCATCTTCTCTTGCGGCCCTCTTTTGGCGCCCTTGTGCCGCTCTCGGGCGCTCTTGGGGCAGTTTTTGGGGTCTCTTTGGCCCATTTGGGGGCTCTCTGAGGCCATCTTGGGGCAAGCTTGAGGCCTCAACAGCGCCTTGGAAGCGAAAATGCGAGAAGGCAACACACATTGATTGTTCTTTCGTTTTGTCGGATTTTGGCCTCTGCGGGGGCCTGAGGGAGCTCCGAGATCCGTCTTGTGACCTTCGTCCTGCCTTTTGGAGGTATGTCGGAAGCTATCTTGCAAGTCTTGAACCATCTTGGGCTATCTTGAGCCGCTTTTGATGCCATCTTGGGGCTCTGAGGCCCTTTTGGAGCCATCTTGGGCCATCTTGGGCGCTCTGACCGATCGCCTCAGGAATCCTCGTGGAGGGGAGGGGAGGGGGAGGGCACCCCTCCCCGAAGGGGGTTTATGGAAGAGGACGTTCGACCACCCACGCCGAAAGGGCTGATGATATACATTCAAAGCAACGAGGGGCAACGCATTGCAATTCAAAGCGCCGTACTACCAGGCCTACCATGAGAATGCACAGCATAGCACCGCCTGTCATGACATGGCATCGCAGCATGGCGAGCACAGGATTGAACAGGATGCTGAGCATCGCATATCACAGCACGGCATGGACTGGCATGGGAAAAGGCATACCAGAACAGTGTATCTAGTGGCCTTCGGCCGATCCTTCCTTCTTCTTCCTCCTTCCTCCTTCTGCTCCAGGGCCCCCAGGGGTGGTGACGGTTCTTGTTGTGAAGAGTGCACTCCCCTGCCCCTCTGCCGCCCGTGCCACCATGTGTGTATGTTGTACACGCTTGTCTTGTTTTGTGGCATGCACGCTGCCCGCCGCTGTTTTGGCCCTAGTCCTAGGGCCCTGGGACGCACCCGCAGTTGGACTGCCGCGCGGTCTTTGCTGAAAACAACTGCACTGACATTGGTAGCGGAGCTAGTAAGCTCCAGCGGACGCACTGCGTGCTCTGCTTCGGTGGTTGTGACCACCCGCGTGGGCCGCCATGGCCACCAGCCACGACGGCTCAGACGTGGAGGCTGCGTCCTCCGCAGGCACAGGTCCCCCGGACCTGCATGCAGTCCTGCGCGTGATGGCCGAGACCCAGCGGGAGCTCTTGGCCTTGCATCGGGATCGTGGCGACGGCGGTCCCAGACGTACACGTCTACTGCTGTCGCAGGTGAGGCTCCCAGAGTTCGATGGTGGAGTCGGTACGAGTACTAAGAAGTACCGAGAGTGGCGCAAGGAGGTTGAAGTCATCCGCAACCTCAATCAGCTCTCAGACGTGGAGCTGGGCCTGATCATCTACAGTCAAGTGACAGGTCGAGCCAAAGAGCTCATCGAGGTGCTTGACGCGTCGGACCTCCGACGCGAGGAGACGCTCGAGACCATCTTTGCTATCTACGACGACGCCTTCGAGAAGATGGATCACGAGCGCCTCGATCAGGTGCATCAGGATTGGGAGCGAGCACACCGTCGAGCTGGGCAGCCGATCATGGATTGGACCACGTACCTGCGCAAGAAGCGCATGGAGTTGCAGCTCGAGGATCCCACATCAGCGATCA